TGTTTTATCGATCACACAGAGCTTCAGTCAAACCTAGGTTAACCCTGTATGAGGTCCTCTCAAGGGCGTATCAGACGTTAATCGCTACCTACATGATAAGGGAGGATTTGTTTAGCATTCCAGTGAGACAAATTGAGGGTGATCATGAAAAGAAAAAACTCAAGATGTGCAACACGAATTTATGTTGTCATTCTAAATTGGCAAGTACCTTATTTAGATAATTTGATGATTATCGTTCAGGGGAAATAAAGAAAGTGAGATTTCTCATCATCGTTTTCTTTTCAGATAATCAGAGATGAACTTACCTCTGTTCAAAACGAAGAAGAAAATATTCACTATCAGTTATGGTCTGTTTGCTAAAAACAATGATATCAGCATATAAAAATATTTCTTCTGTGAAATCCCTTGCATTATGACAAAATTACATTAGCTTATATTTAAACAATAATCACGAACTCAAATCTTTTAATAAAAAATGTTGATAGATTTCATGTTAAGTATAAAAATAAGTAAATAAGTAAAAAAAAAATGAACAAGGAATGGTATAAAAGACGATATTCGAAGATAATTAAAACCTGTAGATAGCAGAATAATAATATAAGAACAGTACAAAATTTCAGAAGATAGAAGTGATGAAGCATCAGGCTGTTACCGGTAACGGATCAGTGTCAGAGGGTTCCTGCACAGAAACATCTACGAAGCTTTTCCCTAAATAAGGTGGTGGCTGGGTTTCTCAACATAGAAATAAAATTTTAAAAGTTTTAATTGAGAAAGATAAATAATGAACTATTGTCACCCCTATCTAGACTAAAGTGCATATATATAATTCTTTGAATAGAAGATTAAGCAACAATAAAGAAATATTAGTTCAAAGTTACATCTCTACTCATTATACATCTAGTTTATTTTGCTGGAGGCTAAAATAATGGAAAGCAAGATGGGAAACTGTGAAAATAAGAAAAAAAAACAACGAATTTTAATAAAAGAAGACCTGCTGCATTAATTCCACAGCCTTAATCATTTCTGAATATCGGATGAATTCGAATGCACAAATGTGTTTATTCTGTTCTGAACCAGTTGTACTATTCACCGGAGTACAAGCATGATGGCAAATCTAAAAAATAAGATATCATATGTACAATATAGTAAGTAATAACGACGGTATGGTCCAATATTGGTACTGGATCCTCACGAACAAATGCTCGTCGGATGCGTATTACTGGAATAGATGTATGATCAATAAAGTAATGACAACAGTACGATTAAGTGAATGGAATCATCCTTCAACAGATAGCCTGGCAAAACTTCTAAAGTTAGTGCTCACAACTTTACATTCAACAGAGAGCATTATCTACAGTCAGTGGTACTGCCATGGGCATCAAAATGGCACCATCATATGCAAATATATTTATGAGCTACCTTGAGTCTATGCTACTTGCAGCACTCAGCTGATTTAGATTCATTTATGACATTGAATTAAATTAGACATCCGGTCGAGAAGCATTTGCTTTGCAAACGATTTTCCACAGGACCATTAAGTTTGATGCTGACATATCCGGCGAGAAAAACACTTTTTTGTACACTTGTTCAACATTCACCAACAGAGAAATAAACACGGATTTATACATTAAACCCACAGACACTCACAAGTACCTTCGCCCATCTAGTTGTTACCCACACCATACCACAAGAGGCATTCCACACTTCCAAGCGTTGAGAATCAGACGCATTGTTTCTGACGACGACGTCTTTAGACGTCGTTGATTAGAACTGGTGTCCCATCTACTCAACAGAGGATATAAAGCAGCTCTGATCAACCGTGAAATCAATAGAATTAAAGAAATAGACAGGGCTAGTATACTTGAAAACCAAGTCCGAACAAAAAATGGGAGAATACCTTGTGTGGTGACCTTTCATCCCAGCATGCCATCATTGTCAACGATCTTCCAGAAACACTAGCAAATCCTACTGTCGTCTAGTAAACTTCATTTTCCCGGAACCACCAATACTAGCTTATCGCAGATCGAAAAAACATCAAAGACCTGGTAGTGAGCGGTAAGCCGTCAAAAACTTCTCACAATACTGCAAATGAGGTCAACGGTCAGAACTACCACGTCCTCCAATCACTATCCTGCACGTCGGCTCAATTAATATACTTCATTACGTGTGTCATTTGCAGTATGTAGGGGAGACGAAAACACCTTGTAATTTCAGGATTTAGAATCGCCGATGTTCTATCAAACAGAATCGCCTGGACCGGACCTGCCTATAGGAAGACATTTCAACATGCCAAGTCATTCGTGGCATGACATACAGGTGGTACCCATTGACCACTGCAGGAGTTGGGGTGACCAGCAACGCCTCGGTAAGGAGCGACACTAAATAACAAGTACAGTATCACCTATCCGAACACCCCACCTCCACCCTCAGCAAAAAAAAAAAAAAAAAAAAAGAAAAAAACTAAAAAAAAAACTAAATAAATAAAAACAAATCTTACATACTTGCTGAATGTATTGCATTACATTTAGTTGCTAAATCTTCTTTTCTTCCTATTTAAAATTTGCGCTGATTATTAACTCTATTCAGGAAGTAAAATATTCTAATTTTAAAGCGGGGGAGGGGAGGGGGGGGGGGCTTGTGGGTTGGTTCTGTGGGCGAGTTGACGAATTTGGGGCCTATTTGACCATATTCGAAATATTATATATATGCATTTAACTGGTGTTTTGTATTCATTGATCACACACACACGTACACATATATACATCATTCGATATATAAATAATTGTACAAAAACAACAAGAAAATACCAACAGAATCATAATCCAAGCTTAAATACAACAACTGAAAAAGTACAAGGTGAATAAGACCAGGTGTTCCGGAACAGTAAGAGTCGTCTGCTTCTTAGACGACGCCCGAAGTGAAAAGCTTCAAATATATTAATTCTACAGAAGCATTTGAGGAATAACCAGCAACGAATGTTTTATAAATGGTTTTCGGAATGGCTTTTTGAAATGACGCCATATTGTTTTATGAACTGGAATATTCATGTGTGTGTAAGAGAAACCCAGATTAACGTAGAGAAGGTAAATGGTTGTATATATTATGCTTTTCAATGAAGGAATGTGAACATTGGTCTAACTGTTGAATTAAGATTTAGATTGTATGAGTTGTAGTTTGTTTATAGAATCAAGTTTTTATTTTATCTTAAAATATATATATGTACGACATCGCTCTTAAAATTCAATGCAACAACAATATCCTCAATTAATGAGGCGATATTACAAAATGTACCCAACAAAAAAGAAGGCACAGCGTTCCCCCTGCTGTACACCTTAGCTGTAAGGAAATAATGAAATATTTGGTCATTTCATCAAGAATGATCTCCTTTTTCCACAATCTACCCTAAAATCAGCCGAGCGTAACGATGCTATTGTCCGACTTTATTAGCTTCTTTAGTCCAAATCAAGCCAAGCTGGATTGATACAAACGAATAATTTCAACGGATACTCAAAGTTCAGCCACATTGATTTTCCACGTTAGCATTTTGATTTCGCTATTGACCGAAATGCCAAGCTTAACAAAAATTCAGAGGGTAGAGATATTGCGATGCAGATGGACGGTCATAGCCCAACTGCTGTCGCACGGCCTCGTGTACAAATACCTGTCTCTATACACGTTTCCACACTACTGGGTCAGTTTCCGATCGTCCAAGGAGCGGTCGTCATCGTGAAAAGACAAGACCGGGCGATTCGATTGTCGCGCTTGCGCAACAGATTCAAGACAGACCTAGTAGTGTACAAACTGCTGGAAACCGCCTGCGTGCTAAGAGAATCATTGCGCACCGACCTTATGTCGGGCTACCTCTGGCACCACGGAGGCGGCAAGTGCGTCCTGACTGGTTTGGGATGCGTCGATGAAGGTGAGTGATGTTCATCGGCGAGTCTAGATTCTGTCTATATTGCCCATATGGAAGAAAAATGGTATATCGCAGATGTGGTGAGTGCTTCGCCGACACATGCGTGGTTGAACGCGATAGATTCGTTGGGGGATCTGTAATGGTTTGGGGAGGCATCTCCCATGGAGTAAAATCCCGTTTAGTGGTCCTAGATCCAAACCTCTGTGCCGTTCGATACAGAGACCAGATCCTCCAACCACAAGTCCTTCCACTTCTCAGACGTCATAACCTAATTTTCCAGCAAGACAATGCTCGACCTCATGTTGCCAGAGTCTGTTGTGATTTTCTCACGGCAAACAATGTTCAGCTTCTGATATGGCCTCCCCTATAGCCCCAACATGTCTCCCATTGAGCATCTGTGGGATGAGCTAGACAGGTGTATTAAGAAACATCACAAAAAAAAAAAAAAAAAAACACTAACCGCGCTCAGTTGATCGCAGCTTTAACACAAGAATGGAAAAAAAACCCTTAAGGCAAATTAATGTTCTCATGAACTCAATACATAAGAGAATCCGTGCAGGGATTCGTGCAAGAGGTGCCCAAACCAGGTACTGAAGTGTCATTTTGTTTTTCACGGGTATCCCACTTTGAGTAACTACTGATGACACTAGTGGCGTCACACAGACTTTTCTTCTACAGTGTTGTAGAGCAGACTTGTTCCTTCACATTGATATAAAATTTTATACAAAATTTCTGAAATATAGGCTATTGATTGCATAATTTAGTTGTGCATTTTTTTTTTTTTTTTTTTTGAGTATAGCATTATTCTTAAGTAGCATTCAGTGGTTTCTAGGATGGCGAGATACGGATGATAGACATATTTAAACCCATGTCTATAACACTTTACATAGAATTAAGGAACTGAAATACACTGATGTTTCATGTTTCGATCAGCCATTCCACTTATGCCGCGTAAGGGACAGATAAGCAAAAGTCACACCGTTCCTATCAGCGTTACACGAGCTGACCTGTCTGGAAACCATACGCTGACCATACAGTATCATGATTTATATTTTGGTGGTTCTGTAGAGACTACAAGCTCACCATGATATTTATTTTGCTGGCGATCTGCGCTTTGTTTCCGCTTTCTAACGGAGCTGCAGAGCTGCTGAAAAATCCAGATTTTGAAAGTACATCCTTTTCTGGAAATTGGGTATGCAACGGATGTACTCTGTCGAGCAGTACTGATAGTTTCCATGGAAATCGGAGTGGCAAGGTCACAAACAGGTAATTGAAAAAAAATTTTTTTTGTTTTGTTCTTATTCTACTCTAGAATACAGGTAAAGAGTAATATCGTTTATTAACCTTTGTTATATATGTATATACATGATCAATGAAGTAGTACCGACAATACGGACAAGTGAATTTTCAAATTTTCGAGGCACTCTGCTCCTTTATCAATATAAAAATATCACATAAAATATAAAAATTATCAAGTAAAATCGAGAGCGGTAGTGTAAAAAACTGAAGTCTGAAACCAAATGCATTGTAGATGCAAAATCTATATATATATATACACTTTGTATCTACAATGTATCTGATTTCAGATTAGAGATGTAGAGAAATAGAAAGTGATGACTAAGTAAAAAAACGTAAAAGGTATTGACTGACCTGATGAATTTAATCGCTTTAAACATAAACTTTCTCTATACACACAGTTTAGATAACGTTGATAGATAGTGCTAGTGATGATGCGTTTCGATATTGATATCTTGTGACACATTTCATTGTCAACTGATTGTATCAGAATAACAGATAGATAGTATTGTTAAATAAAACTTTTGTTACGATTTACGTGCTAAATTTAGCCTTTCATGGCCACCAACAGGGGTTCGAACCTGTGTCAGAACCTCCTATCGGGTAGACCGAAAACGACAATATCTAAAATTATTTTCACATATATTATGCTGTTTCTGATATTTACATTGTTACTCTCTATGCTCGTTTTAGATACAGAACGGAAGTGTGGTGAATCAAACAATTAATTGGTTATGAAACGTACCTAGAAATCTTGGGTTGACTTTAAAGCAACTAACCCAACTAACATTTTAAACCTTAATGGCTGCTATTTTTAATCCATTCCAGTGTGTGTTTTTCTTTCTTTCTCTCTGCTTCGATTTCAATTGCGCCACCATTATCAGTCACAGTTTCGGGTAGTATTGGACAGTACCTGGCGAAACCAGTCACAGATTCGGGTAGTACTGGATAGTACTGGGCGGAACCAGTCACTATTTCGGTTAGTACTGGACAGAACCGGGCGGTACCAGTCACACTTTCGGGTAGTACTGGACAGTACCGGACGAGACCAGTCACAGTTTCGGGTAGTACTGGATAGTACTGGGCGGTACCAGTCACAGTGTCGGGTAGTACTGGATAGTACCGGGCGGTACCAGTCACAGTGTTGGGTAGTACTGGATAGTACCGGGCGGTACCAGTCACAGTGTCGGGTAGTACTTGACAGTACCGGGCGGGACCAGTCACTATTTCGGGTAGTACTGGACAGTACCGGGCGGTACCAGTCACAGTTCCGAGTAGCATTGAACAGTACCGGGCGGTAACGGTCACAGTTACGAGTAATACTGGACAGTACCGGGCGGTACCAGTCACAGTTTCGGGTAGTACTGGACAGTACCGGGCGGAACCAGTCACAGTTTCGAGTAGCACTGAACAGTACCGGGCGGTACCGGTCACACTTTCGGGTAGTACTGGACAGTACCGGGCGGCACCAGTCACAGTTTCGGGTAGTACTGAACAGTTACTGGCGGTACCAGTCACAGTTTCAGGTAGTACTGGACAATACCGGGCGGTACCAGTCACAGTTTAGAGTAGCACTGAGCAGTAACGGGTGGTACCAGGTGGTCCAGACTGTTAATTGTGTAACTGGTAATGGTGGCACAATTGAAATTCTAAGTCGAAGCGGGGAGCAGAAAGACGCCTCACCTTCCGTAACACGTTTTTTTCTGCTTTTTTCAAGGGTCACTGTTGTAACCATGGTTGTATTTTCTTTTTGTGTTCCTCGATGCAGTTTTTAACGCTAACATATCAAAGAAAATGGCTTTATCACAAGGCAGACAAAAATGTTTTCCATCCTTATCATGACATGCTGCAGTAACGCTTGTTAAGGAATTATAAGAGTAATTTTCGTAATCGCGTTTTTATTTGCTATTTTAAAAACGAAAAACGTCACGAGCAGGGTTCGAACCTGCGCGGGAAGATCCCATTGGATTTCAAGTCCAACGCCTTAACCACTCGGCCATCGTGACATGACAGTTCAATTAATCTTTTAATAAATAGTATAATCTTACTAGATGTAGCAGCTTGTGTGTCGATAAGACCAGCTGTGCATTTGTTGACACTTGATTTTCCTTTGTGTAACTTTGACAAAATTATCGATGTTAAGTAAAAACAAAAATTGTACACCTGTAAACCTGAAATAGTGATGTTTCTAAGAGAAATTTATAGCACTCCTTTTTTACCAGTTTATATCATAGCCATTCTTAAACAGACCGGTAATCAGAAATTTATAGTGGGTCGGTATATCGAAACTCATGAGAGGATGGGACAACTGCTTTTGGTATCAAAAAAGAAAAAGAAATATTCCAGTACAGTTTAAGATATATATTAGATAAAGATTGTCAACCAAAAAACATTAGTATCATTGGCAACAATGAAAACATCACAAATACCTCATACCATTGCTTCATCTATTTATTTGTTAACATTACCTAATTCTAAAACTTCTGTTTGTATATTTGGTTTATCTGTGTGTCAGCCATGTATAAATAAACAATCAAATTGCAGTAAGATAATAACGAGATTATCTAAAATTTGGTGTCACTAAAATTGCTCTAACTTGTATGTGAAGAAGGTCCTTTATTATGTCATGTTTTTTTTATATTCAAAACAAATAAATAAATAAATGTAGCAAGTATTCATGCCATTCATGAATGTTTGTTATAAAGCCTGTTCATTTTAAAAATATAGAAATATAGTAATGACACTAAATTGCCAACAGAGATACCGCTTGATGACGAAGCTACGGAAGTACAGTCTGCAAAAAATTGATACTTGATTTAGGAAATGCATTTACTTGACAATTTGAAAAATATATGCGTCGATGGATATAATTGGGATGAGGATTAGATTGGAGGCTGAAATTGCAGCATTGCTATATAAATTATGACGTATATGGTGCTCGTTCCATTGTTGTAAACATTGTTCTCATTTGGGAACGTGACATTACTCTCTTGGATTGACCAATATTTACAATGGTCTCGTCGAGCATGAGCTTAAAAGCTTTTTCTTCCAGAACATTAAATTTCAGATTGGTTATGTCAATAGAAGTTCTTATAACACAAGATAGTAAAATATTTTAAGTATGATGTTTCGATAACAACACTTTCACTCTGGCATTGACGCATTGGAATTCGCAGGCTGTTACAGAATCGGTCGACTTTATCTACTGTACTGATAGTATAAGGATATGTATTGTTGATGTAACATTCAGCGTCCTGCATTGAACCATGAACATATTAAATATTTGTATCAGCATTCCAGCACTACCAATGATCGTGAGCATCCTTTTTCCTAAAGATGTTTTACCCCCCTCTTTGTTTCCCTCCACTTTGCATTATCTTACTTCCAGACTCCGAACAGAACATTAAGGTATTCTAATCTTTTGTAACCCAGTCGGTTTTGACAGCCATGTATTCTCTAAATAGCAGTATTATCGGCCTAGAACGTAACTGCAGTTGAATTGAGGTGATTCAAGAGCGTGTCTAATTCTGCATATTCCCGTTCTACTTCGTCGTGTAATCAAAAGTCCATCTAAACATCAATGGAGTACGACTCGACAGCAAGTCATTGAGTGTAAAACTTGATTGTGATTGTTTAATACATGTTAGAATTCAACAGATGTCAGCTAATTAAATGAATCCATTCACGTTCTGAATGAGAATTTCAACACTGATGTTAAGATAATTTACACATGCTTGATGTCCATGGAACTAACTCAAGGTACAAATGCAGTTCCGTAACACCTGGTCTTATTTTCCTTTATTTTCTTCAGGAGTCTCCATGTAAATGTTTCTTTTGTACATATGTATGCCTAGTTGTATTAAATTTGAGGTTGGATTATGATTATGTCGACATGGTGGTATTTTGTTGTTGTTTTTGTTTATAAAGATGGAAGCGTATGGAATGTTCTTGTTGGTGTTGAATATACAAATTTCGTGCATAATAATGACGCGCCTGGTTGCTCAACCATACAAATTTACACTCTACGTACTATAATATTAAATCATATACAGTTTTAAACCTATAGTTTATATTCATGGAAAACACATTTTGATGAAGTTTGATATTCAGTCCTAAGTAGGTGCTTTTTATCGGAACATTTGAATATTTCCAAATATCTTAGCTTCCATAGTCAGTTACATTCTACTCAGACTTCTCCATATTCTATTTTTACCTTGATTGTGTGGAATATTCCGAAAAATGAACGGTAGACATATCAGATTAAAAGTTTCCATCGCTCTCCTTCCCTACCCTCTCTCTATTCAACAGAATTCCATTTGTCAGCTTTTACGTATATAATATTCTGTATTTGAACATCATAAATTGAATGACATGTCAAAGCTTTTCGGGGAATATGAACCGCTCCGTTTGATATTCGTTAAAAAGGCATTCAGCGGAGATCAAATAAAAATACCTACATGCACGGTAAAGTCTACTTCTCACGAATCAATACGGCATTCGGGCAGTCTAACATCAAATTAGCAATTCACTGACTGATTTAAGTGCTCAAGATGCAATTTGCTGCTAACATTCAAATGAAACTTTTATTTGGTTCCAGCCGTTAGTCCTTCAGTACACACAAAACAGATGTAAATATAATGTATGGATTTAACATTATACCAGTTATACAATATGTAATTATAATGAATGTGTCTCAGTTAAAACAGCCTCTATAATACAGATCACACATCTTAGTCATTATCTAAACCAGTTAAGGGACAGTAAATGCGCCACCAGTTATGGATAGTAAATGCGCCTCTACATTATCATATCATATCTTATGAACAGCACATTACTGAAATGCTTACATTAAAACAGGTTACTAAGGCTATGTGATGCTGATTTATCTTGGATTTGCACATTATTTTACATTTTATCTATTAAATTTAGATGTAGAAAAAATATGCAGTTTATAGCCATCTATAAAATGAACGTCACGAACAGGATTCGAACCTGCGCGGGAAAATCCCATTGGATTTCGAGTCCAACGCCTTAACCACTCGGCCATCGTGACATACACATTCTCATTTTACTACTTAGATATAATAAAATATTTGCTAGATGTCACATCTGTGGTACGGCTATTATCTATTAAAACAGTGTCGCACACAGCAGTTGAGCCGATCAATGAAATACAAACCCAGGGTTGTCTATTCGTTTTCAAATACAGATGCAGAAGAATGGGACAGACGATCAATATGCACAATTTCCTATTGGAAAGATGGGATCAAACAGCAGCACCTTGATTAATTCCTTCTCATCGGGGAAACAAATTATAAATTTTCCATTTTACTTTAATGTTTTCTTGAATTATATATCTAAAAGAAACACTTTCTTCATACAGCTTATCCTAATTTTGTATAAAGATGCACCAGCAAAATCTAATATTTGGTGGACATGTATTTTAGTCTAAGATTCTGAAACAATGCATGTGAATAAGACAATACAACTTGTCAATGTCTGATGAGGAATCTTCTTGTTGTTCTACTGATGTTTTCCCACTGATTTGAGTTAGAACCAACTGTACCCCTTTGTTTGCTGAATTATTTTCGTTCTCATACGAGTTTTCGTTTACATGTGATGCTGACTTTATCGGAGAACTTATCAAAACAGGTGACAAAGTCCTTCTATTTCACTTTCAGACATATCGAAAACGGAAAATTAAATACACGACAGACTCTTCTACATCATCCACTTTTCTCGATCTTTTCCTGCAAAGTAACAACGTAAACAGATTTCCGCCATGCTATATGACACAGGCGATGATTTCTCTATTGTAGAAAGCAACATCCCTGAATCATCAACCTGTGGCGTTTACATGTCGCAGTCTATTCTATATTTAAGGACCTGTTCTCATTATCAAGATTTTCCTGCGAGAAGTCGTCAACTGTTGAACAAACTCGTAACACAGGATATCAGAAGATCCAGGTCGATAAAATAATGGGGAGATTTTACGGTCATCATAGTGATTACAATGAGAAAAAAATCTATGAAGGTGGACGTGTTTAATGCACGTTAGTTTGCCTGTTGGTTCTGTTGTTGTATGCCTTGTTCTCATTTGAGAACGTGACTTTACTTACGTGAAATGACCAACGTTAACATGGTGGGTGTCGTCGATAAAGCAGAAGACGCGCATTCTTCCGGAACATCTAGTCTTATTCTCCTTGTGCTTTTCATGAGTCTCCATAAAAATTTTCCTTTGATATATATGCTGTTAATATTTTTTATTGATTGAATCCATTAGATATATTTATGATATTATATGCTTACAAACAATGTACATATCGAAAGCAAACTTCTTTAGAATTGTTTTATATACTATTGAACCTGACAATTCCAAAATGCATATTCAAAAGAACTGAACTTGTTTTAACTTTGTCGACACCAACGACAGAAAGATGATTAAAATAATATTGTAAACATCATTTATTTTTCGCGATTGCATAATTTTTGCTTCACTTTTTTTTTATTTCAGAGCAAATGCAGGGATCGGATTGGGACAAACTGTGACTGTTTCACCCGGTCACACCTACGTATTCAGTGCCCGGGTAAAACTTCTTAACATGGCGCCAGGTTATATGTTTCATAACGTACAACTGCGAATCAAGGAAACTGTGAATGGTAAGCGTACAATAGCGGGAAATCTGTGTCCATTTTATCAACAGGAACAGATAATTCTTTGTAAGGTTAATATCAGAATATTTCTTAAAGAAATAATTGCGAATACTTTAAAACACTTTCTTCTGGTTGGTAAAGTAAAGTCGAATATAGTGAAATCGTTGGAAAGTTTGAAGTGGTGCCATTTTCTCCAGACAAAAGACAAACGTATATGAAACCGGATGGTTTTGGAAATAAACAAGTGAGTTACTTACCATCCCGTTTATTTTACATTACCAAAGAAGATAAACGTAACAGGCCATTTATCTGAAGAAATTGACATTGTAACATTTAACAAAATAATCACAAACCGAATAGCGATATGAATATTATCATATTCCTCTGAAACAGATATATATTTAGGGATCCGTTAATCCGTGAGTGTCATCAATCATATTTCATTTTCATATACTGTGTACTGTAAAAAAAAACTTTATTTGGCACAATCAAATTTTTGAGCATTTTACATTTTGTTAAATTGGCGCAATGATGAATTCGCGCATCCCCAATATCACTTTATCTAGCAGTATATAGAATCTGCAATTAGAGAAATCATATTTTTGTGCGATACGTTCAGTGCTGAAAGTGCTGAAATCAGATTATCGCTAAATCATGTACATTTACAGGGAGTAAATTTTCTTATTTGATACTTCTTGCTGCGTTTTCTTACAAGATATTTAAATATTGTTATCCGTTACGTATTACATTGGGTTATACACATATTTCATTGTTTTTTTTTTTCTTCTTTCTCAAGGGCACAATAAGCATGTGAATGTATCTAGCAACCCCAAAACACGACGAGAAAACGGATGGGTAGAAGTAGGGTTCGACTTCACTGTACCTCCAAGTAAGTAAGATATCTAATACAAATACTCTTATAATTAATACTACAAATACTGGATACATACAAGGTAATACTTTCGGGGTATAAGTAGAAAAAAAGCAATGGATATTAACAGAAATCAAAAAGTTCAAAATTAATATTAGCGAAATTTGAGCAGTACTTCCGATGAAAACGATATGTCAACACGAGTGCCTTGTCTGATCCCTTGTCTCATACCCTGATTGTTGCACTCGTAATACCAGTTTCAAATTTCAGAAGGTAAAATGCTTAATGTTTTCCCCCTTTATCTTATGATTTGTTTTTAATCAATATGATGATGATGATGATGATGATGATGATGATGATGATGATGATGATGATGATGATGATGATGGAATGGATGGATTGATGGATGAATGAATTAATATATTTGGCGTTCACATGCATTTTCTTTATTTTATGTCAAAAAACTTTAAAATGAAACAAAGAAAAAAGAAAAAAATATGCATCATTTGATAAATCCATCATTTGTAGGCTTGCACCAGATTTCTGTTTATTTTGTGATCGACGATATGCGAGTGAACTATGTCGTCGATGATGCAAGTTTTGAAGAACTACTTTATGACGCCAACTGGAAATCAGAAGCTAATGCCAGAATCGCCAGTCTTCGTAAAGCCCCAATTACGGTCAAGTATGCTATAAACATTTTGTTACATTCTTCAGTAAATAACAGGAGGAATATAGTGCTGCCATTTTCTATATGTAATTTGGTACAGTGTATGTTGTTGTATAATCAAAAGATGAAATTTAATTTTCTGATTTTGCTTACGCTGAATGTATTGTTAATAGAATTTTGGTAATTAAAAATGTCTAATATCAATAAAGAACTTTTTACAAAATAATGTGTGGTCTTAAGTGGTTAGTCTTGTCTAACTTTAGTGGAAGTTATGGCGATATAACAAGTATATTGTGAGAACGTCTTGTTTACGTAACATTCCTTCTAGTTTTGTGTTGTTTGTGTTTGTCGTGCTTTATTTGGTAAAAATGTACAGTCATCATTGTCTTTGTAATATTTTCTTCCTAACATTTGTTCTGCAAGGTATTCAACTTTATTAATCTTGTTTATTATATCATCTGATAGGGACTTTCATCGAATCTTACCGATACCCATATTATATATGTCTAGATACCTATTTTCTCGATTTTTTTCCAACCCTCGAAAAATATTTCGTTTTTGATGGCGTGATAAATTTAAACGACGAATTGTGCCACTTTATGTATCTAAATCGCCAGCATTTCTACTGACAATACCAGGCACGTCCTCTAGTAACAATATAATGTCACATGGCTGGGTTCCAATAGTTAGTTTTTGTGGACTACGAAAAGTGCAAGTAACACTTAGTATGAGAACCATTAAGAAAATATCAAAGTGATACTTATCTCTGTTTGCCGTGCATTTATTGCTGATTGAACTGCAAGTCAGAATAGCCATAGAAAACAAATAAGGAAATGACGAATTTTAAGAACTAGAGATTTCAATGAAAATGCTTTAATATTTAAGCAGAGTAAAGATGTCTATAAGCGTTTTCTGATTATTTCTCGATACACGTGCCTCTTTTTGATGTTTTTTTTTCTTTTTATTGATCTCTATAATCATTGTTAAAATAAGGTCAATAAAATATTTTAACAATGTTGGCTTCATGATTTGTCTTGGTATAGTAACATGATACCAAGTTCAACAGTTTAGTCGTTTAAAACATTTGCACGACGTCTATGTTATTTAACAGGTTGATCATCTTTTCTTCGCCGAACCAGTATATATACCTGTATACGTGTCACAAAATATTTTGTGATTTGATTAATGTTCTTCTTAATATGTTCCATTCTAGGTCTCTTACGCACTAAATAATAATACTCCTGTATACAACATAATAAAATTAATTGAGCCATTAAATTTGATTTCTAGTTTCCAAAACCTCCATGGATCAGGGTATACAGTTCAGGTCAGTACAAATTATATAATCGTTATAGGGTGTATTTTAGTGATCATTTTCGCTCAGTATTAAATTCTTCCATCAATATATAATCTACTTTGACATTGAGCTTCAGCCTTCAATATATTTTGACAAATGGGCGACATGGCCGCAAGTCTCATTGTACTTCGTTAATGAAAAGGCTTGGTTACTCTTGCTTTATAGAAAGTTGAATATGTAATTACATTATTTGATGATTCCGATAAAACATTTTAAACATTTCTACTGGAGGTAACCAACGTATGTTTAAATAAGCGTGAAACCATATATCGACTAAAGTAGTAATACTTTTTGCAATTCTAGTCCTCAATATTATGTAGGTTCTTGGCAAATCGAAACAAGATCCTTGTGTTACACTGAGCATTTCATCTTCCTGCCGACTCAGATAATAGGGCAGACGTGTTTGTCGCCCTTTCTGTAGCTTATCGAAATAAGTACACATAGAAATATATGTTAATCAATAAGCATTACCCGTAGTTATATATATTTTGTCATTACATCAGATTGAGCAGACCGGGAGTAAATTTGCATTCGGTTCGGTTGTGGACGCTGCCATGATAGTGGATTCAATACATCATCCGTACCAACAATTCTTCTATGACAACTTTGAGTGGGGAGTGCTGGGAAATGCTTTGAAATGGCCACAAACAGAACCAGTTCAAGTAGGTAAAATAATTAGAAATAATATAAGCCTTCAAAGGGAACGTCACTGCTTCCTGAATACTTATTTAAATAGTTTAGCACTTCCTAAGTCTACTTATTTGAAACAATATTTGAAAAGATAATTTAGCAATGTTGCGGCTTTCAATGCAGTAATTGAAGATAAATGGAATATGAAAAGCTTGTTAAACTGTTAATCATAACGAAAATAGATTAATGATAAAAATCGTGTGATGAGTATAAATTAAGGAAACTGTATCTCTTTCCAGGAACAGACGCTGTAATGAATAATCAAATATAAAATATGATCGTGTTTCACAGGGACATCCTACTCTAGATAAAGCAGTGACTGCTGTGAACGCCCTTAGAGCTAAGGGGTGAGTACTGATTATTAAATTGACGACATTTACATTTTATGTTGTAAATAATCGTAGGTTTGGACCCTCCATTCTTTGCTGATGATTTTCCTGAATTTTTCTTGAATAACACGCGAAAGGAAGAAAAATATATGCAATCGTCATAACACTGTAAACAGATTCTGTGTTAAATTGTCCGTGATTCCAGTTTATCATGAGTTTAACTGATTTGATTCCAAACAGGAATACAGTTTCCACTTTTGATAACATTTGTTCAATAAGAATTCTGGGACCAACCTTCCATTTTGATATTTTGGTGAATTAATGTTTTTTCTGTTTTCTTAATTGTTGCTTAATCATTATGAATAGGATATACACCAAGAGTGACAAAGTAAGGGTTTAGAAATATTGAGGAATTTTGCAACCCAGACCTACCCATCTTCAAACGAAAATTCTTTATTTTCTTTCGAAAAACATCAAGAAAATACCAACATGGCAACATAACCATAATTCAAACTTAAATTCCATAAAACTATGGCAATATATAACCGTAAGAAATGTTTACATGTAGACTCCTGAAAAAGTACAAGGAGAATAAGAAGAGGTGTTCCGGTAAATTATATCTACCAAGATGACAGAGCTGTCAAGTCTTATCAAGTATGATGGTAACCGCCGAGTTTTAAGGTACATCTTTCCTGAAAACATGACTCTTTTATAAAAATAGACTTCTTATTTTATAATCACAGAAAGAAGGTGCGTGGACACAACATGTTCTGGGGTACTGGACATACACATCCGAGATGGCTAAAATCATTGAACTCAAGTGAAATTTTACAAGCTATGCACACACATATCAATGATGTCATATCACGAACGAGGGGAACGTAAGTTATAAACAGTTACCTTTCTCTGAACTATTTTTCAAGGTATCATTTGATGTATATGCTGTGTACATATTGACAATACATATCGAACAAGAAAATATCAGCTTCTTTTAAACAGAATTTTAATTCAAGCTCGAGAGGGGGCGGGATGGGGGTTGGGATGTGATAAAATAAACGATTTAAAAAAAGACCACTGAAAACGAAAAAAGAGTCCAAGTGTTTCAAAAAGGATATAGGTTCTCTTGCATCAACAAATATTAAGTGATAGCTTTGAAATGGTTGACATAAACGTTAAAAGATAAGGTTAAGAAAGTTGTCTAAAGTAGTTATTGTAATCCATATAGCCTCGAACACTGGGACGTGTACAACGAGAATCTTCACGGAATGTATTTTGAAGAACATACAGGTCACGTGAATATCACCAAAGAGATGTTTTACTGGATTCATCAAGCTGAGAGAGGTGTGAAGTTATTCCTCAATGACTATGCGGTAGCATCGCCTGGTTCAGTGACAACAGTAAGATATCATTATGTTAAGAAATACATAAACTGTTGAAATAATTTCATGAATAATGAGGGAAGAAGAATAAAGATGTTGATGTTAAAATGCACGTCGTATTTTTCCCTTGTTATTTGCTTTTCTTGGTTACAATGGATCGATATTAATGATAGTGACTGTCTTGCAGAATATTTTTCATCCGAAACATTCACCTTCTTCGGTATATGTGGATGCTTTAGCAGATATTTTCTTTATAAATTGATTACTTTTCTTAAGAGATTTATCATTTATATCGTAGGCGTATAAGAAGCAAGCTCTCATGATGAAGAATGCTGGAGTCCCCATCTACGGTATTGGTATTCAGTGTCACACCAACGCACATCTGAATATCTCCGTGTTAAAGGTATGTAATGATAACGATATATCGTAGATAATACTGTACGGTATTTCAATAATTTTATTTAGGTTTTATTCAAGACCAAAATTACAAAGACACTATAACAAATTTTGATATACACCCTATAGCATAGAAACAGTCGCTTCCGATATATTTGATTTATAGATAAAAAAAACCTTTCTCCTCTGAATCTGCGTTCTTAAACTCTATTCTGTTAACGTTATATTCTAATCGTCACAACAGTATCGTCTAGACAAGGTAGCAGAGGCTGGTCTTCCCATCTGGATCACGGAGTTCACAGTAAACGAACCCAATGAGGTGTTAAAGGCAAATGCTCTTGAGGACATGCTGACGTTGTTTATGAGCCATCCGGCTGTGGAGGGCGTTCTTTTGTGGGGATACTGGGATACTCGTATCTGGATACACGACTCGGCTTTGGCTAGTGGACATGACGTGACGGTAATATAAACTTTGCTTTAATGTTTAATAATCATCATCAGATAAAGATTTAGACCCTTTGCAGCACTGACGAGTTCTAGAAGGACATCACTGTCAAATTCATTGTTTGGCTCTACTGTATCTAACTTAAAATTCATTTGTTTTAAAAGGTGCTATTCACGTTTTTGTCTTTTGTACAATTGTACATACAAAATGAGTTCCCGTTCTGTTTGAAAAGATGTATTGCCATCGGAAAATGTGTCGACTAAGTCATTTTCATTTCAAAACATTTTATTAATACAAAGTATTAATAGGATTAGACAGCAGGCTAGTGCCTATATAAGTCTTCTCCTGGGACAACACAGGTGGTCAATTACAGTTACACTGATCAGATTCAAACACACATACATACTCCCTCTCTTTCACACTCACAAACCTGCATACTTACATGTACATGTATAGCATACAGTAACTTACAGTGGATACATACATACAAACACACATATAGACATACATATATACACACACCCTCACACGCACATACACACCCTTTCTCTCCCATACACACCCTCACACACACATACAGATAAATACACAGAGAAACCTTAGAAGGGAGATAACTCTTACTTAATTTGGTATATAATTCAAAATACAAAATAATCTGATCTGTAAAATTTAGAAATATTTTAACTGAATTAATACACTTACGGTACACTTGCTCCTCCATACTGACAGGAATATTGGGCCATGAGTGTCCATAGTAATAAAGTTGACCCTCATCCTATCTAATGGAGAAGCAAGTATACCTGAACGTGCATTACTGTAGAATAGAATTATTTTTTCCAAAATATAGAGGATTTTCTGCTTTAACATTAGAGAGTTATATCCCTATTTTAGGAATAAATGATAACTAGAATATCAGAATTCTTCAATATCTTACCATGTATACAAATTCATATTCATAATTTTAAAAAACTTTTATAATTTGCAAAATCTTTTTGTGCCAATAATATAGCTAATTACAGAGGCTAATATTGATTTATTAACATTAATATCACAATCTTGGCAGCCGTTAAGAATAAAATCTAATTCATAATGAGGATGATCATGTTGATATAGAGAATGATACAAATCTTGACGGTAAGTTACATATCTTGGACATTCAAAGAAATAATGTGGTACAGTTTCAAGTGGTGCACCACAAGCACATGAGGGGTATTCTATCAAGTGATTATTATGTAAATCAAAGTTGAGAGAGCTAGCTGAGTTCCTTAGCTGACAGAGGATAATATTGTATTTTCTTTGTCCATATTCTTTAAAAACAACACTAACATTAGCATTATTATTTACATATAGATTTCTATCAAGTAATTTCTTAAACTGGTCAATGGAGTGAATGTCAATCAAGGAGTCACCGATTTTATTGAATTCACAGATCATATCTGGGAAAAAAACTATTGCAATAACTAACAGTGCGACAATATGGTTCATAAAAAATTCTATTATTTCTAAGTTGGTATCTTGATTCATTAGGATTGTTTAAATATGGTTGTATGATATCATATAAATAATCTGGTGATTCTTTGTTTAAAATCTTGTACATTAAAGTCATTTTATGTTTTTTCCTTCTGTCACCTAAAGAAACCCAGCCCAGTTCTGAATACAGTTTTTCACTGGATGTACCTCTGCGTAACCCAGTTATAATCCTTGCTGCCTCAAGATTAATTGATTCTAATAGGTTCTTGGCATATTCTGGACAGTTGTCCCACACGGTATCAGCATATTCAAGAATTGGTCTAATATGGGATATATAAAGTATGGAAAGAGATTTTCTGTCAATTTTATTTTTTAAGAGTCTTAAAATATTCATTTTTTGGTTTGCCTTCTTGTATATGTAATCAATATGTTTATTCCACTTGCCATCACTACTAAAGAAGAGACCAAGATGTTTATGAGAAGTTGATGTTAAGACAAGCTCATTGTTAAAAAAGATGTCTGGATGATCTGGTTCTGATTTTCTAGAAAATATTACGGATTCTGTTTTAGCTGGATTAAAGTTTATATCCCATTGTTTAGACCAGTTATTGGTATGATTAAGATCATTACTCAGTACTTCAGCTTCTTCTATGGGGTTAGTATTAATTATTCTAAAAAGTGATGTATCATCAGCAAATAATTTTATACAGCTTGTTACACAATTAGTTATATCATTTATGTATAGAAGAAAAAGAAAAGGCCCTAGGACTGATCCCTGAGGAACCCCTGCATAGACATATTTAAAAGTAGAAGCAAAACCATCAATTACCACCCTTTGTTGAAAGATAATTTTTAAACCAGTTCAGGACATTTCCTTTTATTCCATATGATTCAAGTTTATGTAACAGACCCTTATGCCAGACCCTATCAAATGCCTTACTTATATCACAAAAAATAAATCTTAATTCTTTGTTATTATCTAAGTTACTTATTATTGTGTGATATATGGAAAGCAGTTGATTAACAGTTGAGTCATTAGGCATAAAACCAGATTGGTGTTTTGATATAATTTCTGATTCATAAAGATGATTAAACAGATACTTAAAAATAATTTTTTCTATAATTTTACTAAAACATGAGGTTACAGAGATAGGTCTATAGTTAGAAACATTATTTTCAGTACCTTTTCCTTTGTAGATAGCACTAACATTAGCAGATTTCCAAAGAGAGTTGATAGTACCAGTCTCAAGAGTTTTGTTACATAGTATAGTAAGAGGAAGATAAATAGAAGGAGCAAGCATTTTAATTATTTTAAGAGAAAGATTATCTGGACCTGGTGGTTTCTTATCGCTAAGGGCATCTTGTTCAGAAATAACAATATTGTCAAGGACGAGATGAGTGTAAGATAAAACTGGAGGTAGAGGGTCAAGATCTACAGAGGAGGTAGAGATAGAAGTAAAATAGGTATTCAAACATTCAGCTTTTGCAAAAGGAGGACTAATATATGAACCATTATCATTTAAAGGTGGTAGAGAAACTGATTTATTATTAGTTTTGAATACTGAATTGGCAATCTTCCACCACTTACTTGGGGGAAGGGTTTTATCGCTTAAACTTTTCTCTAGATTTTCATAATAAGTTTTCTTTGCTTTTCTAATTAAGTCAATTACTTCATTTCTTTTTAATCTATAAGTTTCCCAGTGATGTTGAGATGAACTAGATCAAGCTTTTTTTATGAATACGGTTACGCTGTCTCATTTTCAATTTAATCTCTCTATTCATCCAGGGTTTATCATTGGGACGGATAGTAATCTTTTTAACCTGAACAAAACGACAAATCAAATCCTTTATACAATCAGTAAGATAATAGTTCAGCTCTTCCACAGATAAAGTACTAGATACTGTATTCCAATCAATTGATGCCAATTCAGTATTCATACTCTCAACATCAGCTTCTTGAAAAATATATATTTCACTGATATAAGATTTACACTTAAATGTTGAATAAAGAACATCAAAAGATATGACTGAGTGGTCACTACAAATTGGAGGATAAACAGAAGTGTTTTGGATAATGTTAGTATTATTTGTTAGAACAACATCCAGTAAAGTGGAAGTAGTTGGTGTTATTCTTGTAGTCATTGTTAAGTTACATAAAATCCACCACGTTCAAGAAATTTCACTCTTGGTACTGAAACAGACTACATAACATGAACATTCAGGATTGTTTTCTCCTTAATATGAGACGTGTATGGAAGTCATAAGATTCCAAACGAAGAGGGACAATGTTATGTAAACGAGTCAGTCAATGTCTTATTTAATTACTTCTCCGTTATCAACCATACAGGCATTGACATCGTACTGAATTAACTGCGAAATTTAGTGTTTTCTGTTATATTACTTAATGGGGAAAATATATGGGGTGTCTTCAAAAGCATAATTTCCTCCACACACCAAACTACCAAACTATATCAACCAGATATATGTGTCAAAAAGTTAAACATCCACGAATTTGAATAGAGAAGACGTAAACAGTCTAGAGAACGGAAACTTCCTCGTTCGGAAAAAGTCTTTCAGATGCCCTGTCCACCAAATCAGAATTCAGTATATTTTTAAAGAATCAATGAATAGTCAACTGAGTTGTGTAAAAAATTTGCTATTCAGTTAGCAATACATTAGTTACTACCGATGAAGGGAAGGTGTGAACGTTTCAAGTACTGTAGTACTGAACAAAGTATTGATAGTATTGTACTGAAGTACTTCACCAATCGAATTCCTTAAATTTATGCAACAAGCTCTCTGATTGGCAGAGTCAAATCTAGATCGATTGTGGGTGGAGCCAGGTGAAAAAACACAATGCAGACATCGGCATTTTACAAACACTCGACTGTCGCGAGAGGTTAATTGGAAGAGTGGTTGGCTCAAAATATTTCAGTTTAAGCCCAAGCTCTATTATATGTAGCAAAGAATTACGAATTACCTGGGACCTCCTGATATATGCCGATAATTCATACTGCATTAAAAAATAAAGGAATTCTGTGGTCCCATATATTTTTTATTTTATTTTTTATCTTTCCATCGAAAATTATACATATCCGCAACATGTGAAAAAACTTTGAAGTTGGTTGGGCGGAATATCTAGAGCATTTACTACTGCAAGTTCCAGAAATTCTGACACAAGTCGGGAATTTGCCCGAAGCCTCTGTCTCATGACATTGAATACATATTCAGTTACGTTGTATTCCGGGGAATAAGGCGGCTGAAAAACCAGGGACACGCCATATTCTTTCAGCATATTTCTTAAAATGCGCATTCCCTGTCTATGGTGATGGAATCCACAATTATCCATCACAACCACATCGCCTTGTACAAAAACAGGAGTCCCCATATCGTTCGTATCGGACATAATTTCGTCGAAGAAAATTTTGCGTACTGTTGCCGTCGTCGGACATTTTTCAAGCGATTACTTAGTAATTGTTATGTAACTGATAGTGTACATTAACTCCGCCTACCGGAACAAATTGGGTGTCAGATCAACTATTCAGGTTGTCTAAACTCCGCCCCCGACCAATCACAGAGGTCGTTGTATACTTGACTCGATTATTTGAATACTTCAATACAATAGTATCAATACTTTGTTCAATACTATAGTAAGTGTGTCGTTCACACCTTCCCTTCATCGGTAGTAAAGATTGGATTTGATTTTACGTCCTGATATTTTTATATGTTCCAGCCTAACGAAGCAGGGAGGCGCTACCTCCAACTCTACCACGACACCTGGCGAACAAACGAGACTATTCACGTAACCGGAAATTACGTATATACCTCAGGATTTAAGGGAGACTATACCCTTCGACTTAAACGCAATGGTCATTCAGTTCGAACACAACACTTTACATTGAATGATGGTGGGAAACACGTCAATGTCGTTTTGCCATAAGTATGGTCCTTCGTTTCATGTTTGCATAATCTGCCACTGGACGTTCTTTATCACCCCATCTAAATGCTCTCAACATGTTAGTTGACCAAGAAGAAGAAATTGCTTTACATATACAGATATTAATTGACAGAAGTATTAACTGCAAGCATCTACAGAAAAATTTCAAAATGTCGAACTAAAGTAAAATAACAAAATGGCGAGAAGGCAAATCCTAACCTCACTTGATACATAGTAATAAAAACAAATGTTTTTAATCCAAAGTAATTAGTGATTATTTATAATAGTTTCATTGTGAGCACAAAAACTGACCACACATGTTTCAAAAAAGTTAATAACGATTACAATAGTCTGTCAATGAGCAGAAAAATTCTGACCTCACATATATGATATACACAGTAAATAACATTTATAAAATTCAGTTTGTGGGCAGACAAATTCTGACCTCACATGTATATTATACCTTGTAAGAGTTACAATAATCAGTTTGTGGGCAGACAATTCCTAACCTCACCCGTATATGATACTAAGTGATAGTTACAATAACCAGTTTGTGGGCAGATAATTCCTGACCTCGCATGTATATTATACTTAGTAACAGTTACATTAACCAGTTTGTGGGCAGACAATTCCTGACCTCACATGTTTATTATACTTAGTAACAGTTACATTAACCAGTTTTGTGGGCAGACAATTTCTGACATCACATGTATATTATACCTAGTAACAGTTACATTAACCAGTTTTGTGGGCAGACAATTCCTGATCACACGTGTATATTATGCTTAGTAATGGTTACAATAATCAGTTCATGGACAGACAATTTCTGACCTCACATGTATATTACACTTAGTAACAGCTACAATAACTAGTTTGTGAACAGAGAAAATCTTACCTCACATTTAAAATATACACAGTAATAGAAGTGCAATAATTATTTTGTAAACAAAAACAAATTCTGACCACACATGTATTGTATACGCAGTAACAGAATTATATTTATTTTGGGAGCAGACAAATTCTTACTTTATGTACATACGCATCAGTCATTGAGGTTACAGTTAAACTAGTTATCGTTTTAGTGAGCAGACAAATTCTAACCTCACCTGTATAATATACACAGTAAATAACGGCTACAATAACCAGTTTTGTGGGCAGATAAATTCTGACCTTACATGTACATTGTTAGATTAGCAATGTAAGCATAACCTAGCAACAGACAATTGTACACCTCGCTATCAGTTGGATATATAATAGATAGCAACAAGTACTTGTATTTCACGAACGAGTTACTTTACAAAGGCCACCCCTTTTGCTGCAGCAGAGGTAGCCGCTCCTATCTGAAAACTATGTCCTTTATAAAATATTCGTATCTAGATGAATGAAGGTCCAAACGGATTGAAGCATCTTTCAGAAATAAGAGTGGGATATAGGTGATGAATGAAAAAATAAAGAAAAGAAGGGGGCCACTGTTGTATTCGAAAAGATTTAGATATTGTAGAAGAGTGAAAACTGGGCAAACACATTCAGATGGACCAGTGGGAATTTCCTGAAGAAATGATCGGAAATCCCCATGTTTATGATTTGTAATTTAACTGTCGAAGTCCATGTATAATTGTGAAGATATCTTTGAAAGCAAATATTTTGTCTGGTTGATTGTTTTGGTCGACAGTAAACTTACCAATCTAAAGGAAAGCATGAAAGGTCAATAAAAACATTGCCCGACACATACGAACTTCTTTACGAAAACATCTTATTACATGGCATAGCACAGATGTTTCTAATATATTCAATGTGATTGACAATCTACAATCATCATGTCGCTAATATTCTGAAAACCCTTCAACATTTTAATTGAAAAATGAGGAAGTAGTGTCATTCATATTTTCTCATTAATAAACAAAACTAGTTCCTGATATGAATGAATAATTGATGGCAGCACTCAACTTTTGAGTGAACAGATGTACAATGTATTCAGGGAGGATTGGTTTAAGTACTGGGAAAATGACGCTAGCAGGATATTTCTTTCAACGAAAAGTTTTGAAAAAAATGTTGCAATACTCTTCAATAAGAGTTTACAGTAGATGGATTCCAGGTAGCCGGTAAAAGCTGCCATCTGTTGATATGGGATTGCTATTGACTGTTGGATTAGGCAAGGAGCCAGTTTGGAAGGCTTCCTGAAATTGAAGACGTGACAGTTTATTAGAAACAATGTTTATGAAATTGGGAATGTGTTTACCCTAAAATTCATATTGTATTTTGGAGTTGACAACATTAATCGTCTGACTTATTTCATTATCTATGTATATTTTGAAGTTGTCTTATTAAGTATGTCGACAACTGGGCTGTTGTCGCACATGAACAATATTCAATGGTTGGACAGTTTTTTTTACCCAAATCTACATTGCGATACCTATAGGTAAAAGTTCTTTAAAATTTATATGAAAAGGTTGCAATTGCTCTGTTTACTACTAACCATTGATGCCCAAGAACCGCCGCACAGACACCATGTATACCTGCTGCATCCGGCAAGAACAAGATTTGCCATTGTGCTCTGACAGCAAGTATAGCCATGCCTGCACGTGTTTCTTTATTTAGGCAAATATGATGCTGTTGCTCTTTCATTCCTACAATGAGATCAATGAATAACCTCAAAAATGCCCTGCCGCGGATTACGACAACACAGGAAAAACAGACCCAGTAATGCATTGAAGATCTTTTGACTTGATTTTGCGATTGATTTTGAAGTTATGAAGTAATAATTTCGCTTTTTCAATTTTTCCTTAGGCGAGGAGACTGTCATTGTATCAGTGTTCAACTGTATACCACAATTGATTATCTCTTTGGATGAAAATATGTTTTTTCTGCCTTTATTGGAATGCCGATATTAGCAGCCACTTTGAAAAAAGTTTTGTGAACAAGTTTTGCATTGATCAAGAAAAAAAATCATCTAAAAGTCGGGACATGCCAGCCTGGAAACACTAGGTCATTATCCATTGAATCGCGCAGCTAAAAATTTCAAACATGATGATGAACAGCCCATAGGTAGACATATGTCACAATGATATTGATGATCCCATTTTAAGCCTGAATATTTCAAATTATTGGGATGGATGGGAACCAAACGGAAATAATCTTCACTGTTAACTTTAGCCATTAAACAATGAGTGCCAATTTTTGTTTAAACAAAAGTTATAACATTTTCTTCTGATTTATACTGAACAGCTAATATCTCTTTAGGGATAAGGTCATTAAATGACTTTCTCTTAGGATATGAAAGGTTGTGGTGAATTAGTCGAAATGTTCCAGTATCATTTTGGGGAACAAGGCCTAAATGGGATAGGGATAGGAGGATGATATAAGGAGCCAGCAACTTTGTTAAGTGCAGTCTCTATACCGAGTTTTCCCTTAACTGCAACAGGATTGCACAAGGCAGAGTGATGGTTAGATGGTTCAGACAGTGGAGGATCACCAGTTACACCCAAATGGAAACCTGCCGAGAACCCATGTACTAACGTTAATATGATGTCTTGATCTTCAACCTTCCAATTGTGTGTTAAAGTATGAGGCTGCATTGGCGTTGGCAGGCTTTGCGATGACTGAGAGGCAGTTCTTAGCAGCATGTTTTGCCATATAAATGACATTTATGATTGTATTTTAAATAAATGGTTGTTGACATTTACCTTCTGAGCTGTACGATCAGCAGAGATGCTCTTTTGCATTTGTTTACCACCATATGTATTATTTGAAATTTTGACATTCAGTTGGAGAGACAACAAAAAAGAAGAATCTTATAGATGCCAAACGCCAGTTTCCCAATGAATAGGTTGTATGCGCCGAAGTTTTCTAAAATTTTCATCGTAATAAAAACCTGCCTGAAAACCTGATGTGTCATTTATAAGACGAATGGTGTGGCCATATCTTAAAAGGCCTGTGGATACTTCATGGTATGAATGGGAATGAAAATGTCAAAAGCCTGATTCCATTGATGAATGTGAAGCAATTGTTTTGTTTTGGTGTGAGAAAGTCAGCCCTAATTCCCTGTTACCTTTCATGGTGATATTGAATTTTGAATCATTTTCGTCGATCGGAAAAACCAGAAACATATCCATTAATTAATATTTTACTATGGGTTTGACCTTTCCTTTAAACCCTAGAGGCAAGTTGTTATTTAAAAGTTGATCATTGTCTTGAAGATTGTTACCTTAACCCGCTGTAGCAGCTTTCAACATATGACTATTTGGTGTTTTAATCTGTTCATGGTCGGATGAAGCATTTTTTTACCAGATAGCCAAAGGAGGTTAGTGATTGATGTGTCTACATCACTACCAAGGTCAGGGGAAGGAGAAACCAATGTCTGTGACCAATGTCACTACTAGTAGTAGCTCTGGAGTTAGTCACACCAAATGATTTCACAGTATGTGCTATTGCTGTGGCAACCATGCTTGAGAATGTTTGGAGAACATGGTCCACTATATTTTTAACAAACTGGTATTGGATGAAACCCCCATCTGACGTTTCCGAGGTTGCTGTTGTGGGTTGATTGCCTTCTGAAGGAATTTTTCGGGAATGATCACCAACACCCTTAACCGGCATGGCAATTTCCTGAAAATATAGGCATACATAGTTCACCCATAAAAGATTATATCTTCTACACTGACCTCCTGAAAAAATTGTATGAGGAATACGTAATGTTCCCAGTGGGCTCAGTAGTGCCCTTTACGTGCACATATAAATATTTAGAGAGGACAAGACGAAAGCGTGCGAATATGATGAGAACAACTTTACATATAGGCAAATATTGGTTGATCTTACTCGATAAATCAATCAGTCATAAATATATTTGTCTGAGGTCCATGCATACTCATGATGTAGGTATAGAATTAAGGGGGAAATAATGCCTCTAAAAATACACAACGACGGTTGGTCAAGTTATGAATAAATAATATTGATAATTCATGTTCATCGGAGGGTTCATCATACTCAGAAACAAAAACGTCATT